GGGACCCTAAATGCATCCAAGTTAGTACTGCAGAAAATCACTGATTAAATAGAGGAAGAATGACACAGCAAATTAGAAAATCCAGATAGTCTCTTTTCTATTTAAGTGCACTCATGATACCCTGGTGCCTTGGAACTGGGTGCTGCTGTGAATGTGAAGTGCCTTAAATACATATAAACTTCCTGTTCATACAGTGCAGTAGGGTGAAGTGTGAAGAGCTTAATGGAAAGATTCCCACCTTTAATTCAAATTCTAATTTATTGCCCCAGCCCAAGTGATTTTGTGTGAAGTCTTTAAAACTACAAAATTCCCTACCTCACAATTATCACCATATTTCTTCCCTTTTTACTGTTTCTCCTTCTGGTTTCTTCCTATAGGGGACAGGAAGAGAAACTCCCAGGCTCTTTAATTTGGGGCTGAGTCAGGAAAGAAAAGTAATTAAAGTCACAAATACATAAAATTAACCTGAGTCCTTAAAACTAAATGTCACCATGGAGACCAGAGCAGGAACTGTCTCCATGGAGATTTCAATGAATTTGTTTTGCTTTAAATTATTATCACTTGTTACCAGATGTCAATTTGGTCAAGGAAAAGATGAATGTGAATGAATGAATATAAGAATTAGCCTCACATGAGAGAATTTGTTAAGGGTAAGTCTGAATTATTGTTGTTCTCAGTATTTCATCATTCCAATGAGTGGGAAGATACCCTAACAGAAAATATTTCCCCTTAGTTTAGTTCTAATGAAATCACCTGATGATATGGCTCCATAAATGCTACAGGAATGAGTTGGGTAAGATAATTCCTAGAAAAGACATCTCTCACTCAGAAGCATCAAGGTGTGATGAAGGTGATATGGCTCTATCTATCAACCACTTCAGTTGCAAGGAAGAGGTGGCTCTTTGGCAATGTTTTATCCCAGCAATGGACCAAAGATATCCCCTAACGGGGATTTTGGATATAGTACCTTATAATCTCTATTATACACAACTGTTTTTAATATGAGTAATGAGGTCAAACAGATCTGTCTGTATCACATGCCAGATAAAGAGAAACACAGGGAAAAAATCTAAATGTTTGAACTGTTTAATAAGAGGAAAGTCAAAATTCCTCCCAGTTACAGATTTTATTTCGAACCTATATGTACAGTCACTTAACTGACTGAAAACTCAGTTGAGAAGCCATACAAATGGTATTTATAGATATTAGGTCTTCATCAATTAAATAAGAAATCACTAATAAAAGATATTAAAATTTAATAAACATTTAATCTGTCATAAATCAATAGAAAGCTAACAATTATAACCAAAATGTATAAAAATAAGTCAATGACACTGTTCATTTAGAATTTTACACAACCTGAATTTTATTCAGCTTTGTAGGACAGATCTTGGTGACTGCTTGGATACGGAAGACCAAGTATGCCAACGATACAGTCAGCATAGAAAATGCTAGTGCTTCTCACATTTGACAGTCAATTCTTGCTATCTTTATGTTCTATACCTTGAATGCTCAATTAGCAAATACAGACATACAAGGTTAGGTTCCTGTGAGCCTCTGGTCACAATATTTTTGTCAATCAATCAAAACATAACCTTGTATTATGTGTGCTTCAGTTTAAAAACACTTTATGTAATGTATATTGTTGATTCATTAACATTGAACTCACTGCCAACCACACTATAATTTAAATTTGAATGAAGCTTTCTAACACATGCATTTCCTCTGTAAGGCATGTCACAGTCTTCTTGTGCTTAGCATGATGCTTAGGGACCATTTTACCATATCACTAACAAAAAGCACAAAAAAAAAAAAAAAAAAAAAAAAAAAAAAAAAAAAGGTAGCATTAAGTACACCATGAAAAGGATACTTGTTTACAGTATGAGAGCTGAAACAAAAAGGCAGAGCATCACTTTGTTTGACCTCAGCTGGGAACGTGCACATTGGGCAACTCTTTTTTTTTTCTTTGCCTTTTTTGCTGCTCTGAGAATGTCTACAGATGACCACAAAAGTGCATTAAGTATTAATGTTGACTTAAAAATAAATTGTATCAAATAGGTGAATTTATAAACAGAATCCAGAAATAATAAGGATTAACTGTATTTGTCAACTATTGAAAAAGAGTTCTATTTCCTGTGAGGCTGTTCTTTACTATTCCACTGCATTTGCCTATTCTTTTTTGTCCACCTGTGGAGTATCTATCCTTTGTTCAAAACCCTGCTCAGGAACTGCCCTCCCCACTACACCATTACCTTTACTTTTTATAATCATTTCTTTTTTGCATAAATCAGATCATACTGAATTTATTGATATTATTCTCCTTTACTGCCCTATGGAGTTCCTTGAGGTCAATGGCCATGTCCTAATACGTATAACTTCTACTGTGCTTAATATGTGACAGGCCATGTGTTAAAGGGTGTTTCACATATCATACCTCATTTAATTTTACAATAATCCTATCATCCCCCTTTTATAGTTGCAGAAACAAGCCCAGAGCAGTCAAGTCACTTGCCACAACACGGAACAACGGAGTTAGCATTCAAACCTAGAGCCCAAGTTTTAACCATTATGCTATGCTAAATCAATAGTGTTAGCCACTGATACGGTTTGGCTATGTGTCCCCACCCAAATCTCATCTTGATTTGTACTCCCCACGTGGGGAGGGACTTGTAGTCCCCATGTGTCAAGGGAGGAAGGTGATTGAATCATTGAGCAGATTTACCCATGCTGTTCTCATGATAGTGAGTTCTCATGAGTTTGGATAGTTTTATCAGTGTTTGGAAGTTCTTCCTTCACCCTTCTCTCTCCTGCTGCCCTGTGAATAAGGTGCTTGCTTTCCCTTTGCCTTCCACCATGGTTGTAAGTTTCCTGAAGCCTCCCCAGCCCTACTGAATTGTAAGTCAATTAAACCTCTTTCCTTTATAAATTACCCAGTCTCAGGTATTTCTTTATAGCAGTGTGAAAACAGACTCATACGGCTACCCTATATTATTGACAGCTTACAATTTTCCAGGAATGATGCTAAATGCTTTGCACAAATTATCTCATTGGATCTGTTTTTCTATGTTCCCAACATGTAGCAAAGTGCACGACACACAAATGTATGTTGGGTTGAATTTAAGTCTTCCTATTCCCCAGTCATCCTTCTAAAACCAATGTATGAGATTCATCTATATTTTCAGCAGTGGCTGGAATGTCTTACAGTGTTCCATTACCCTTCTCTCTTCACCAGTTTCCTCCCCTCCTTCTCATTTATATTCTTCTGTGGTTTCGCCATTGAGGTCTGTAACTCTCACAATGCACTTTTCAAAGCAATAGTGGTGCAACAGAGAGCAGAAGCACTGTCCCTTTGCAAAAGGTCTTTCTCTTTAACAATAACTTCTAGTGGTGATTTATATTATGGCCCAAATCCCTGTGGGGTGACAGAATCACAGAAGAGCTAAGTGTTTTGCTTGAGAGCTGAGGTAAGCCCTACATGAAGCTAAAAGAGGATTTTCTGTTTTCCAGAAACAGAAAATGAGCTTTGGATTCCAAAGCTTTGGATTCCAAATCTGTATTACCTTTCATACTGAGTTCAAAGGAGGAAGAGAGACAGTTTCAGAGTTGAGAAGTAAAAGCAGAAAAGTAAACTTGTTGGAAAGCAGGAAATAGGCTTTAGAAAGTTTGCAAGGCAGAAACTGCAGGTGTTCCAAATACTACATAAATGAATGGGATGAAGTAGGGCTTAGCCTTAGGGCTTGAGTAAAAATCATTCATTTTCTTTCAAAAGCAAAAATATAATGTAGACAAGATTTGTGACTTCTTTTAATTTTGCCTTTTTCTTCCCAATTCTCCCAAATATTCCAACTACTCCAAATGTAATTACTGTCAATAGTAGAGCCAGGAAAGTTAATTCAAGGGAAAGAATTTGAAAAGTTCTAAAATTTCCCACTTTTCTTCCAATTATACATCACAGTGTTGCTATTGGTCAGTGTGATATTTAATTCCAAAAAATCTCTTTTCTTAAAGAGAAAGTGAATTCCCAGGCCAAGGTCTAAAGCACAAGAAGTAAACCAAATGCTTCCGGTGGCCAAGCAAGAACTTACATGAGGGAAGTTCCTAAAGACAGAACAACACCCATCTTACGGTATAGCTAGTGCTCAGCTGTGATACATTCACAGTTCCCAGAAGAAATAAAATCCTCTCTGGCCAGGACTTTCAAATTTTCGAAGATGTAACCCTGGATTTATATGTGAATCTCCTAGTTTTAAATGTGGTCAGCTAATTAAAATGGAAAAAAAAAAATTAAACGGAGCTCATGCCAAACAATGTCTGTTGGCCTTAACCAGTGGGAGATGCAGTTTGCAGTCTCTGACTAGAAGGGCCCTTGAATGTAGCCTAGGAAATATGAGGAGCCTCGTTCAAATGATTCCATGTACCCGCTACCCCCAGGAAATGGCAGCCCTGGAGGCTGGTCCTCTAAACAGGCATCTCCCTCCTGCTGTGCTCCTGGCCTCCAATCCCTTTTATGAGTAAGTGGCCGTCTCAGAAATGTGATTTCCTGGCCTCTGAGAGCATCCCCTTTGCAATCCCTATTTATACACACCTGCTCTGTGTGAATGAGCTAAAACCTCAAGCGGCAGGTGATTTGGCTGCTGCACGGCCCAGTGTGTGCTAGGGAGCTGCCCCTGGAAGGCTCTTCTTCTATTTCCTCCTGCCTGCTCCAACCCTCCCTCCCACTCTCTCCATCTCTCCTTCAAAAATATTTATTTTCCTTTTTTTTCCCTTTCTCTCTTTTCCTCCTTCCAACTCCTCTCTCGTCTTATCTTTTTATTTCTCACCTTTCTTCTCTTTTCCTTCTTTCTCTACCTTTCTTCCCAATTTTTTTCATTCTTTTTTCAGTTTCCTCTCTCGTCTCCACTCCTGTCCCCTCTCTATGACTCTTCTGTCCTTTCTTCTTCCATACTCTCCCCTGTTTTTCCTCCCCCCAGTACCTGGGAACTTGGGGGGACCTCGCTCACCAGGAATACACCAACACCGGCCTCGAGTATTTCTTGTGATGAGAGCGGAGGGTCAGGGAGCCTTTGCGCTCCACCAAGTCCAGGGGTCCGATCTCTAACCCGTGTTGCCTGCTGTCGCACCAGTCCTGGAAGGATCTGTCAAGGCTCTCCATGGCAGCCCTTGAGGTACAGACCTCTGAGGAGTTCTCTGTGTACCTGTCCTGCCCGACACAACTGCAAGTACCAAGATTCGGCGTCTCTTATCTCCTAAGCAACCTGGGGCGGGGCCAATGGAGGGGCGGATCCCTTCAACGTGACGGCCCAGCGTTTCCTAAATGTAGTCGTTACTGATAAGAAACTACGTTTCCCAGAATGCAAAGAGGGTAGTGACCGGGCTACACAGACGATGAAAGGGGGAACTGCATCCTGGGATCTGCAGTTTCGCCTGTCCACCAGCCAAATCCTGAGTAGCTCGGCGCAGTTATGGGGGAGCTGTGGGTCAGTTAAGGACCAAGAGAATACCAAATTCCCTGAGTCCCGAGGGGGTCTGGGATGTCTTTACAGAAGTTTTTTTTGTTTTGTTTTGTTTTGTTTTGTTTTTATTTTTGTTTTGTTTTTGAGACGGAGTCTTGCTCCGTCTCCAGGCTGCAGTGCAGTAGCATGATCTCGGCTCACTGCAACCTCCGCCTCCCAGTTTTAAACGATTCTCCTGCCTCAGCCTCCCAAGTAGCTGAGGCACCCACCACCACTCCTGGCTAAGTTTTGTATTTTTAGTAGAAAGGGCCCCGAAGTGCTAGGATGGCAGGCAATGCCACAGCGCCCAGCCTTTGCAGAAGTCCTTTTTACCGCCCATCATCCATTGCCACCACGCCTTCTGCTTACAAGTTATTCATAGTAAGTTTGACTAAAAGGGAACAAGGGAAAAGCCCCTGAAACCCAAAATATGTCATTCTATATAGCTTTCCTACCTGAGAAAGAGGAGGAGCAGACCCATCTAGCAAATCAGCTAAAAAGTTTGAGGATCAAAAAGCCTAGCTCCAGTTACAGATCCTCCGTCAATTTTTCCGAATACTAGTTTCTTCCTCTGAAAAACAAAAGAGTGGGACCGCGAAGTGGAGTAGGCACAAGAATCGCCAGTCCCTTCAGGCTATGACGTTGCAGGACTCTAGGTACAGTTTAGGACTCTGGGCATTCAGATCCCCAGGACTTGTCAAGTTCTCCTTATTGGAATTTTTTATATTTTGTGACAAGACAAATTCATCACATTATTGTGCCGTCTGTTATATGTGGGAAGGAGATTTCAAAAAGATTACAGCATTGCCTTCAAGGAGTTACTGGATAGCTGTGTTATAGAAGAAAAGATGCTTATTTCATTTTTGACTTTCCAAGAAAAGTATATGCAACACATCAGAATCCTCCTCCCCTCCCTGGCCTTCGTCATGTACTTGAAGGGCATTAATGGACATTGTCCTTGCAATCACTTACCCAGCATAGTTCTTAATACAGATATCTTTAGTGTTGAATGAACGAATGTTCATTATGTTTGATTACCTTAGATTTACTTGCCAAAATATCTTACTCGAAAAAGACAACATGTACATAAAAATTCAAACTTAAAAACAGAGTAAGAGACTATTCACATTACAAATAGATTCTTTGGTTTTAGAAGATAAGTTATAGTGCTTCCATAAATAGTCAGGCACTCTTCTGTATCAGATGGCACAAATTTGATTACCTATAACTACTAAGTGCTTTTCCACAGTCTGTGGTGCATAGTGTGGCTGCCTGTGGTATGCTAAGGTCTCTATTTTACTGACAGCCACAGTTAAAAACAAATAAGCAGTCCACCATCACCAGCCAAGTGCTAGGATAGTGCTGACTGCTATTTTAGCCCTTTTCTTCTAGGAGGAATGAAAAGAAAAATATAAGTTAACTTTAAAAGGGGAAATATGATCCATGTCAAGTTCAATTTTGTCCAAAGCACAGCATATTGCTGTTGCTCCAAAAATATTATTATCATTGCTATCATCTGTTCATGTGTTCATTTTACTTACGTTTAGAGTGGCAGCAACATAATATATGTGCAACCAATATGCCAGATCTCTGCAGACAATTTGACTCAAAGGTGGAAGTCACCCAAAGCCAAGCTCTTTCCACAGTGCATGAGTGCTGCAGAGATTTAAAAGCTTTTCAGCACACCAAGGAGCAATAAGTTAAGAAAACATGCAAAACAAACATAGCTTGTTATTTTAGAGTTCCTTAAGTCAAGCTGATTTTGTGAATATGCTTTTTGTTATACTCACTTTCTTATTTGTATCAAATTTATAAACTTCACTGTCTTCTGTGTCCACTACTACTTCAACATCCTTGTGCTAGAATTTATGATATTAATTCTGTGATATCCTCAAGCTTATATGCATTCCATTCTCCTTGTATACATCAATACATACCGTAGAATTTTTGGTTTTTTGATTCTTTATCATAAAATATGAATAGAACAGCACTTATTGCAGAGGGTTCTTATTAGAATTACATAAGATAATAAATACATCTAAAGCAAATAGAAGAGTGCCTAATAGATGCTCAGTCCTCACTTAAATTTAAACTTCTGCTGCTAGTATTATTACATCCTGATTTTGTCTTTATCATTTGTAAAAATATCCTAAAATGTGGTGTGTGTGTGTGTGTGTGTGTGTGTGTGTAGTTTAAATATACTCACTGTCTTTCAAGCTTTGTCTGTTTACAAGCTCTTTTTAATGAATGTCTTTTTTATTTCTATTTTAATATGAAATTTAATAGCCTGGATCAGAAAAATGTAGGCAAGATATTTGGATATGGTACCAGTGATAATGATAATTTTGCATTCCTATAGAATTCTTTCTCTTCAAGACTAGTAATAAGCTTTATATTTTATAAATGTAAAATCACTGATCCTCAACATACTGAGTTATCCCTGTTTTCCTCAAACTTTATCAAACCACTGAAGTATAGCACTTAATGCAATGCCTTCTATTTATATTAATCCCTTCGCACCATAATATCCTTTTGGCAAGAAAATTAGAGCTCAGGTGGGGGAGGAATTGGGGCTTTTCTGAAGATAAGTGCAGACAGGCCAACTCAGGAAGTGAGCTTACGCTAATACATTTCCTTATTAGCTTTATCAGATTCCTGAAGAGATTGCCAAGAACTGAACAGGACAGCAGACCTAAAACAGATGTAAACCAACCAGATGGAAATGTCTATCGGGGCAAAATTCTTTGTCATCTTCTTTCCCTTCCTGTCTTGATCTGTGCTCAATTTCTGGAAAAGCCCCTAAAGTCACCAGTAACATGTTTTCCCCCACTATTAAAATTACTTCTCTCTATCAGATGTCTTTAAATTATTCTGAGAGACAAGAATTTAACATTGCTTAAGAAAACTAATTTATGCTACCTCTATGTCAAATCTAGTTTAAATATATTAAAAACTCCTATTTAAATTGTATAGCACTCAGAAATGAAAAACTAAGCAGTGGTGTCCTAATCAAGGATTGTATAGTTATTTTTTTTTCTTCTACAGAAATAGGGACTTCCTGTTACCCACCACATATACATCTATGGTTTCCCTTTTGAGTATTCTTTACAAAAAGTTGGAGTCCACCTGCTATGTCAAAATGAATAAGAGGTTCTTACTCAGATAAAGAGGATTGTGGGAGCTGGGGGTGGGGAGAAAACAGACCTCCCATCCTCAGCTCCCCTTGTCCCTCTTTCCTTTACCCTTTTCTTCTCCCTTCTTCTTTGGCTTTTTCCAAATTTCCCCCTTATCCCTTCCTTTTCCATGTCCTACTCCTTTTCTTCTTTCTTCCCCTATTTCTCTCTCTCCTCCTCTGTCTCTCTGTTTCCTTCCTCTCTTCTTCCAACTTTGAGAAGTAGTATGGATTTTAGTCAGAATCTATTGCTGAGAACCCAGGTATAAACCAAATGAAAGAAAAATAATCAGACCTAGAAACCAGGGCCAAAATTTATATGAGTAAGTTTATGTCTAACAACCCAGGAACTCTCAAAGGAGTCAACTTCAGCAAAACTTCAACCTTCTTTCCTTTCCTGTAACTGTAACTACCAACATCCTTTTTTAGAATGATTTTAACCTTGAGTATGATTCCTCTGTGCATCTAATTTGGACTGTGAGTTAGTTAGGCATCTACTTGTCCTTAAGCCATTATCACTAGCTAGCATTGATTAAGTGCTAACATGCAACAGTAATTATTTCTGGAACTCCTACTGTCCGCATGGGGGATTAATTTATTAAATATTCAATGTATACTATAATTTATTATAATTCAGCATTTCCTTTATTTTAATATTGAATCCTGCCAATAAGTGAAATACCTTGACAGAGTTATTCATAATTATTATGATAAATTTTAATGCCCAAGATTAGTAATCACGTACTCTAGCATAAAGGTAGCTTAGGGACTTTTTAAATATCCTATAAGTTGGATATCCTTAATTATTCAAAGACTGAATATCCATTTTCATAAAATATTCTCTCCTTTTCTCCCCAGTGTTGCTTTGCTTTTTGGAACCTTCATTGTTTATTAGCAGCAAAAAGAATGAGACAATTTAGCTACCAGTTAAGAGTTCTTAATGAAGGAGTGGTACTTGAAATTAAATTCAGTATTGTTGTGGCTTTCTTTGTTCTTCATGGTCTTTAATCTGGATGAAGAAACCTCATCACTCAGGGAAGATGCTCAGAGAAAATCAGGGGGCATAGGAGGGGGGTCCTTTCTACTCTGAGGGTGATGGATATTTGCCCAAATCCCTAGTAAGCCCAGCCACCAGTCATGTGGTGAGCAGGCTGGTAAGGAACTGACTGAGAGGCTTCCCCCAGGAGGTCAGGTGTCAGCAGGCAGTTCCCGGTTGTTGCATAGAACAGAGGCTATTCTAGAATGAAGACACCTAGTCACCAATCTGGGGGTAGCAATGGAAAGTTCAGGGAAGAAGCTGAAAAGCTTCTTGACCTTGTCTGAAAAAGAAAAAAAGTACAAAAGGAAATGAAGTTTTCCCTGCTTTTAGGGTTGAATCTGAGGTAGTCATCTAATTGCTTTAACAAAAATGAGGTCCAGGAAGTTTCCAAGTAAAATGATAATTTCTAGTTAAAGTTTCTATAATAGTAGTGACCCAGCTTTGTTTTTTTAAGAAGTCTTACTATGTTGCCCAGGCTGCACTTGAACTCCTGGGCTCAAGTGATCCCCCTGCCTCAGCCTTTC